AAACAATTAGCAGAGAGCACATTCTAGGTATGCAGAGCTACTAAGAAAGCAGCACCGAGATAACAGGAAGGTAATCTGAAAAGCACAACTGAGCAGAGTTACAAGGAAGCCACATTGTGTCTGGTTCTCAGCCAGGGTCTCCATTCAGTGCTCGAAACAAGCAGGAGGTACAGTATGAGCAAGCACATACAGAGGAACTTAACACGTAAGCAGCCGTCCAGAATGCTCATCTTACTAGAAAATACCCCAATATCAGCAGCAGACAAATAAGAATTCTTCCAGTCTTAGCACAAGAAAGCGGTGTGCACAATATCCAAAAATAATGCCATCAGTACCTCAACATCATATGCCTCTCTTTTCATTGTATATTGGAAAATAAGAAATTCACTACCTCATTTCTAGCAAATTTTACAATTTATACAAAAGTTGACTGACATCTACTTTAGGTAAGACATTGCTGACCACCAGACGCTAATTGCAGAAAAAGGGAAGGAGAGCTAATGGGCATAGCAAGAAAGTCAAGTCACTCATTCTCTTAACTGGGACAGGTGGGTGTCCTTAAGGTATTGCCAGGTAACTGATGATGGTGAGGGTAAGTAACTGGACAGATGCTTGGTGTTTCCAAATTCCCTGAATATATCCATAGCTCTTGCATAGTAAATATGGAAGTTGTAATTATTGCTTCAAATACCTTTGATTTGACACTTAAGAATTACAATAAAATACATCTTCAAACACAAAGAGTCTTTACAGTGCTTGCTACAAAAGATGAAGCTGCATAACTGTTTAACCTTCCCAGGAGGTGTGTGCTCCGTCCGTAACCCTTGGCGTCGCTGCAGCATCGTGGCACAGAGACAAAAACTGGCAAGGACACAACGCTCACTCAGTACCAAAAAAAGCCTGACCAAAGATACTGACACAACCGTGACACCATATCCAGGTTACATGGACAAAAATGTCACAAAGGAAGAGGAGGCTTGGCTGGACATAGAATGTTAGACTAAATGACCTCCACCAGTCCCTTCCAACCTACTTGATCCTGCATTTAAGAAAAGCTCAGAGATTCAGTTAAAAGTTAAGGAACATATCACATTTTTTAAAATCCATTTAAAAGAGACCCTTCATCACAGGCAAGCTTCAAGAATGCTGGTGTTCTTTACAAGCAGAAGACCTCGACCATCCCTTTCTAAAATAGACTTATTCTCTCCAGAATTAAGAGAACTGAACATATGAAAATTTTCTTTTCAGTATTCATCAAAAGAACATATGAAATTTAGCAAAAGAAGCTATTATTCTTCCCCCAAGCACAACTTTATCGTCATGAAAGCAGATCATTCCACTAAACTTCACTAGTTTTATTCACGAAGAATGGATTTGTCAAAAGAGAAAAAGTTGACAGAAGAAATGCTCGTTCTTTCTACAGATTTTTCACAGATTCACTAGGTTGACTATGACCCGAGAGGATGTACAAACTGGGACTTCAATAATAGCATAATTGGAGAGAAGACAGACAATATTTGGCTCTATAGTATGAGGCCTCAAGAAGCATTTAGAGAACAATTTCCAGAAAGAGTTCTCCAAGCACCTCTTCCACATATGGCTACTCACTACATTATTGAAGTGACACACAAAACCACAAAAAATACATTTAGATGATACAACAGGAATAATCTAGTATTATAGAACTTTGAAGTTAACACAATTGCCTGCTTTTCTGACCAACGGATCACCCAAACACAGCTTGACTTATCAGCAAGTGCAGACTAATAAAGCTGATCCCAGGCAGGTGAGTATGCAGTTGACTTTGGTATGAAGCCAGTTTAAATGTAACTGGAGTCCTGATTTTTGCATAAGCCCTTTAATGAGTTTGCATCCCAAACAAAGCAGTGACCACTACATATATATTTAATGAGTTATCAGTAAAGTCCTTTGAGTTTTTGTACCTTTTTAGTGTTTTAAGCCAGAATTTCAATACATTCCAAAAATCTGATCTTATTAAGTATGAAACTGATCCCAAAGTTCTCTAATTGCTGCGTATTTCTGAGCTGGCAATAAGAAGTGGTGACTGTGGAAGAGTGAAAAATTGTATGACAAAGCTTCAGGCATACAAGAAAACACAGAATATGCTCTTGGCATTCAGTAAGAAAAACATCTCTTCTGAATAACCTGATTGTAGCAGAAGATAAGGTGTTTCCAACTGGTGTGGAGGAGTGTGCTTCTCTGTTTATTCCCAGCAATTCTTAAGTAATTTTTTTCTCTTCCATAATAGGATCTAGTATTGACCAATGAGATCATTATTATTATTAGGTTAATGCTCTACAAATGGATCAAATGATTACAGCTCAATTGAAATGCTTCCGTTTTAGAGCTGCACTGACATTGCCAAACAAGAAAGTATTTTTCTCCAGGGTGGCAGTAATGTTTCTACATTCTGAGGCTCCTATATTGAACATGAACTTCTCAGGAGAACTAGAAACATACAAATTTTGTAGTACTCTTCAGAATGCAATAGTACACCAGCACTCATGACTTCCAAACACAGGATACTTTCTTTTATTCTGTTTTTCTTGCCTAGTCCATATAATGTTTTTTCTTAGAAAAACAAAGTACAGTACAAGCCAATATAAATATTGTGCTAAGAACCAGTAGATTAAGAATACTGTTAGCAATAGCAAGCAAAATGCCGTCTGAATATATACATAAATCCACCCCTCCAGAGATCCATATTCCATATTCAACTTCTTAAGAGCCTAAAAGAAGTCCGCATTAAACTGTTTATTATGCTTCACATTTTGGCCAAGGTTCTCTTGGTCTGAACTTGGGAGGCTTTTCAGAATTGTTTCCTATACAGAAAATATTCTGCACAGGAACCTGCTAAATGCCAAAATGGAATAACTACATATCATATGCCCATAGCAATTGTTTTGTTCGTCTAAACTATTAAATAATTCTGTTATATTGTACATGCTTAAAAATAATAAATACTTCGAGTTACTTTTTATTGACCGGTTACAAATATCCTTCTTTGAGATCATACATGTTTAAACAAACTGAAAGAATATTCACATGAACAGTACTTAAAAGTCACAAACCTTAGACATAATGGGAGGTTTGCTTTAAACACACATTCCTGATGACATCAGGACTGGAACAGCAGTATCCTCAAGAACACTAAACAAAAAGGTTGTTTTCAATGCAGAAAAGTGTGCAATGAATAGCTCATTGCCTTTTAAATATTGATATAAAGTTGTGATAATGCAGGACTCTTAAAAGCAAGTCAGGTTGTGACCAGAGAAGTGGTTAAAAAAAAAAAAAAGTGTATGGCATAGGTTGGTTTGTTTTTCTTTTTCAGAATGCCTTGTCATGGCAAAAAGTTCCTCTGCTAGCCTAATTTAATGCTTTCATTTTTCTAGTTACTCTGAAACATCAGTTAAGAGCCTACCTGATGTTTTGGAGAATTTGCTGTGCTGGGATTGATATTCCGCAATGCCTAAGAGTAAAAATAAGATGGATAAAAATTACTTTAGCTGCATGGTTTGCCTATGCAGGCTGTCTTATAAACAGCATCTTTTGTAGTATCAAGCCCCCAGGACAGGCCAGATGAGACAGGATAAGGGAGTTAAGAAACTATGAAAATCATGACACAGTGAAACAAAACTCACAGATTTACCAAGGATGCGTATTTGACAGGGAAGCTTAAGGACCAGGGAGAACAACATGAAGGGAATTGGTTGTCACCTGGTCCAAAGTTAGTCAGGCTCTCAATGAAAACTGAGGCAAGAAGACAATTAGAAGGCCTACCTAGAAGCATGCTAGCACAGAGTAAAATGGTTGTTGGTGGATTAATTGCAAAGCAGGACAAGCAGAAGCCCGGGCGCTTAAGCAGAAAGAAAGTCCTGATGCCACCTTTGCAATGTAATCTTATCTAGAGTACTATAAAAAGTAATGGCTGTAAAGATGACCCATCTTACACCAAGAGATGCTGAAGATTCCTACAAAACAGCCCTCCACTACAAAGGGGATAATGGGAGTCAGATTCCAGGACAGAATACTGCAGATAATGAAGAAAGAGAAAAGCTGTCTTTGAGGACATCAAGATATTATTCTCTCCTGATATAAGGCCCATCACCCAAAGTGAAGAGGGAACAGGATAAGATTTTAAAAGGTTTTCCTCAGAGAAAAGATTAGTGCTTTCTCTGTCAGTGTCCAAAAACCAAAGAATATCTCAAGTATCTAGCACAGATGGTAGTAACTCTAAAATGTTCAGATGGAAAAATCGAAGCAGAAGTCAAAAGCAAGTCAAGCCCAAATTCAAAATCCAGAGATTCTGATGCCCAATCCTACACTTTTAACATTTACTATAGCTATATTCATGTAGTAGAAAAATACTGAAAAGAATCGGCTTGCAGCCTAATTATGAAGTTTGAAATTCTTTAGCATAAGAAAATCACATGTTCTAAATGCAGCACGAGTGATTCCCTTCTTCCACGTTCCACTCCACAGTTTAACAGATAAGGTTTTAGCGACAAGGTGTCTCCACAATGTATCTTACATAAACTTTAAAAGTACTCTCAAATCCTACAGACTATGACAGGTTCTACACGTGAAAGACTTGCCTCCACTTAAAAGGCAGAACTAAAGCAGCTGTGGGAAACAACTTCTTGCTTTTTCGCATGACTTAGAACTCAATGAGCAAGACACACATTCTCAAGAGGAATATCCAATCAGCTTAACAGTCCATGATGTCATCCCAATAGTAAAGAAGACTGTTCTTGGAGAGTTTTGTTAGAGAGAGGAACGAGGGAGCAAAATCCTTCAGTCTGGTAAAGTCACATGCTTTCACTACCAACCTGATACCAACAAGAGAAGAAATACTTTTTAGATCTCATTGTTTTGCACAGCCACTGGTCTTTAAGACTCACTGAAACAACAACTTAGCCAAAGCAAAACATAACATACAGAAGAAATAGTGGAAGTAGGTGTCTAACCTGTGGCCTCACCTGCCGCAGCAGTTCTTGATGCTTCAGTCTCAGCCTTTCCTTCTCCATCTGTAGCTGCTGAAGTCTCATCTGTTGTTGCTGATTGGAGCTGCTCCCACCCATCACACCACCCTGGGGACTCTGAGGAGCCAGAGGAGGTGGCTGTTTCACTGGAGCACTTTGGCTGATTCGCTGATTCATGGCTAAGGAACCAAAACAATAAACATTTCAAAATGAAATTCAAACACACACATGCAAGGAAACTATTATCCCTAGAAGCTACATATTAAAAACTTTGTAAAATACAAGCCATGATAGTACAAAACATGCAGTTACACTGATGTTCTAAGTATGAAATGTATGCTCGTGAGTTATTCCTGTGAAATCAATACAACAGCCTTATGTTTAAGAGCATATACTTACTCTAAAAGCTCCTGAAAACAGTTAAATGTGTAAATTGGTGAAAAATCCAAAAGTGCTAGAAAAATATTTCATGTTTAATTGGAAGGATCCCTCTCTTCTTCATAATGAACTATTCTCAATTTAGACACAAATAATACAAAACCCACTTTTCTTAATACTGTGAAATCTTAGATTAATAAACTCAGAACACATAGAATGACAAAACAGATCATCTCACTTATATCCAACTACATTTGGTTAAAGGGCACCATTCTTCCCAAAATTATGCAGGTCACAAAAATCATTCACATCCTTGTCGCATCAAGTTTTGAGTGTTACAGGCTCCATTTAGGACATTTTGACATGCAAAAGTAGAGCTGGTACAGAAATGGCAGTTGAATTTTAAAGCAAAAAATACTGCCATCAACATAGGAAACGTTTGCCTAGTGCTTCATTTTCTTTTACCCCACAGAAGTACAGGATGCATCTTTTCCAGGGCATGGAGAAAAAGAAGTGTTGTCTTGTATTCCTAATCCAAAATGAGAACCCATCTTCCCTTCCCCCATTAAAGCAAGGCCTAAGGCAACTTTATTTTATAAAATAATGCATGACTGGGATGTATCTACTTGACAAGCTTGATTTTTCCCCCACACATGACCAGTATGGTTAAAGTCAACAGAGGAACTGGAGTTGCCATAGTGAATCAAAGGGCTGGGAAAGGCTGAACGTATTACAAGAACACTACTTTCAGGGGCTTTCAGTTTTGGAATTAGGTCTCCACCTTGTTGTCCAGAACAGCCTGAATCTGTTAACATTCACAATATGCTGCAGAATGCATTTGCTCAAGCAGTGATGGGAGAGCGGTAGGGGGGTTTGTGTTTGTTTGGTGTTTTTTTCTGGTTGTTTCCCCCCCACCCTGGGTATGAAGATTATGGTTTATGAGAACTACGGGGGGGGGGAGGAGGGGAGAAGAAAGGTCTTGAGCTTCTTTTACGATGACAGGCTGATCTGGTACAAAGAAAACCATCTGTTGTATTAGTCTGAATTAATGTTTTAAACACATATAGGGGATTCCTGGAACACTAACACTTCTAACTCCCATACGAAAGGAGAATTACCTTACAAAGAATATGTACCATCTTTTCTCTGAAAAGCCTTTCAGTCTCTCCTGTCTTTTGAGTGCTCAATTTAAGGTACACTAGTGCTTTTCTTCTGTTTCAAGAAAGTCTAAATATATATGATTTTTATATTATATTATATATA